TATTATCTAAAGTTAGGGACACTGGGAAGTCTAACTTGTTATTTATAGAACTACTTCGCTTATTTAGCTCAATATTCTTCAGGTTGAAGTTTAGCACACAGTAAAGATGTTTTAACTTTGAGTTTATCTAAGTTATTAAGATGAGGTTCGAGAGAATTGACGTCTACGTGAGTGATAACTTTCCAGTAGTCACTGTGGAAGTAGATGTTAGTAATAGAGTCAAAGTAGCGCCCAGGACTGTACAATAGGTGAAATCTCGGACTCTGACTAAACGCCATGAAATAGTAATCTGAAAAGAAATCGATTACCGTCAAGAATGTGCCGGTTTAATAATGTTAGTGTGATACCTAATTTGTTTACGATTTATAGCTAAGGTAACGTTATGTTTACCATTAACTTTTACTATTTTGTAGGGTCCTTCCCATATCGGGGACAACGCTTTTCGGAGTCTATGGTGGTGTTTCAGGTAAACCACGTCACTTGTTTCATGTTTAATATCGCGAGAGTTTGAATCGTAATATAGTTTGGACTGCTCTTTACTCTTAATGATATTTTGGATGGCCTTTTTTCTGCTAAAGCGCATCCTGAATTGCAAAGCACGAATGTATTCGTTATAGGTAGTATTACTGGTGGTTGTTCATACAAAGAACTAGGAATAGAAGGTTTACAACCATAATATAACAATTCATAAAGAGTGAACTCAGTGGTACAATGAGGTGTGGTATTATAAGCTAACATTACAGTAAATAAATAACAATGCCAATCGTTCTGATTTTCGTTTACAAAAGGATTTAAATATTCTTTTAATTTGTCATGTGACCTTTCTAGAGCTCCATTAGTTGTGGGTGATAAGGAGTAGTAAAAAGGGATTTGATCTTAAGGATTTTGGTTAATTGTTTGTATAAATCTGAGGTGAAACGTGTACCTAACTCGGTCAAAATAGTTTTTGGAAAGCCAAACAAAGACATAAAATGAATAAGATTTCGGGCTATTTCTTCCCTAGTGGCAGTAACTATAGGATATGCGCATGAAAATTTTGTTAAGTCATCTTGAAGGGTTAAGACGAATTTAAATTTTTGAAATCCAGCTTCTGGCAGGGGACCTACGACATCCAGGGCAAGTCTTTCAAATGGTTTATTGGATGTGTGTTATTTCCATTGGGGCTTTATTAGATTTCCTTAAGGGATTGTTAATTTGACATAACTTAATTTTTTTAACAAAGTTTTCGATATCAGAGCGCATGCCTTTCCAATAATAGGTAGCTTTAATTCGATTATACATACGGCTTTTTCGATCCTGGGTGACCTGCGATAGTCGAGTCATGGTTTTCTTTTAGTATTTTGGGTACTTCGATGGGTGTAGGACATATTAATTGATTTTTGTAAATATGTATTTTTATGTTAGTGTTGTGAAATATATGAGCAATTATGATGTAAATTTTAGTGTGAGATAATTTTGTGAAAGGTTCCGTAAAATCAGAGATAGCTAAACCTGTGATATTTTGATCCCTTTGTACAATTTCGTTCCTCAATTTCATTACAACATCGTAAATAGAACGGTAGGTGGTTTCATTATAATGATGAACTTTAATAAAAAGAAAACAGAATATTTTATTATTATAAGTGACACTCTGTATACTACACGGAGTGCGCTCGGCTTTGATTAAAATTGAGGTGTCATCTAACCGTGATGAGAGCTCCACGCAATGGGGCATAGAATTATCGAAGTCGAGTGAGACGGGACATGCGATATAATTGAATTTAGAAAGATGTAATGCTTTTGTGTGTTCTTCGATTTGAGGGTTTGGGTTACTTAAAGAGTTGGTAAATTGATTTTTGAAATAAGTTTCGTAAGGTAGGTGATTAAGATTATCCGCTATTTAAAGCGTAAATAGGGATGCGAGATAGAGCATCCGCCATTTGAATTGAGTTTGCCTTGTTTATAGACTATCATGAGATAGTGATTATGAAGTCATACTCTTCAAGTTCAAGAAGACGCCAGCGTATGAGGCGACTTCCAGGGTCTTTTACAATAAAGCCACACAAGAGGACGGTGGTCAGTGACGATTTTGAAATTGTTACCGTAAAGGTAACGACGAAAAGTTTTTACACCAACTTTCTCCGTAGTGGAGTAGTTTCCTTCCGCTTTGTTCATAGTTCTTGACTCATAGGCTATTGGCTTATCTTTGCCGATAGGGCCTTGAGACAGTACTGCTCCAACAGCGTAGTTGCTGGCATCAGTGGTGACGACAAAAGGTTGGGAAAAATCAGGATATTGCAAGAGAGGAGCTGTAGTAAGGTTCTCTTTTAAGATATTAAAGGCTTGGCCTTGTTCTATAGACCAGTGGAAGGATGTGTCCTTTTTTAGGAGTGACGTCAGGGGTTTGGTAATTTTCGAGAAATTTTTAATGAAACGGCGTTAGTAGCCGACCAGACCTAGAAAAGATTTGACTTCTCTAGGGTTTTTAGGAACTGGAAAATTTTTTTGGAAATTTGTAACTGATTTTACTTTTTCCGGGTTTGGGGAGACACCTTTATCGGTGATGATGCGGCCTAAGTAAGAGATTTCACGCCTAAGGAACTCACGTCAGTTTGAGATTGAACTCTCTGAATCGGTCAAATGCAAATTTGAGTTTTTCTATATGAGAAGGCAGATCTGAGCTGTATATGATGCAATCATCAAGATAGACATAGCAATGTAAGCCTCGTAGGCCTGAGATATTCATAAGCCTTTTTATTATAATAATAATAACGTACACACTCAACATAGCCCCGCACTAGGGAAACCCTGTGTCGCGGGTGCCATGGACACACACGTAGACAACCACAAATTACACCCAAACTCACGAGAGAAATAAATGTAGGTAGAGGCAGTTAAGTTAGAAAGGCACTTGGGGCGTTCTTAAGTCCGGAAGGCATTCTGGTGTACTCGTAGTGACCAGCAGTACCATCTGTGTTTACTACGGTAAATGTCGTTTTCTGGGCATTAGCAGGATCAGGAGGATTTGGTGGAAACCAGAGCACAAGTCGAGGGTACTGAAGTAATTGGAGTGTCCTAATTGATTTAAAATATCTGTCATCACAGAAATAGGATAAACTTCGGAGACTGTAGTATCATGAAGACGTCTAAAATCAATGACGATGCGCCACTACTGCTTATTTGACGCGTTCATCTTTTTGGGAACTACGCATACAGGAGCATTCCAAGGGCATGTGGATGGTCGTATGAGATTTTGATCAAGCATTTACTTGATCTGAGTATCTACTTCGACTTTGTGGCATTTAGGAAGACGATAAGCTTTGACTTTCATAGGGGAAGTATTCCCTGTTTCAATAGAGTGCCTAATAGCAAGAGTAATTGATAGCTTTTAATATCTTCGGCAATGTCTTCTCGCCTAAGTATCCGCTGCAAATCCGTGTGTTTGTCACACATTTTCACTTGGAGATACAATTTCGCTATATCACCAAAAACACAGATTTTATGCTGTCTCCAGCGGATAATAAGGCTACGGAGATCTGATTGTATAGTAGGTCCTATCATCATGTTGCTGTTTAAGGAGCATCCATTTGAGCCCCTAGCTGACGCGTCAAAAACAGGACGCACCTTAGACGTATCCTTATCTTCTCTTATGACAGCATGATGAGCGAGGTAGACCGCTTCACTCACATCTTCTTTTTCAGCCTCACTCATGTCCCCTACCTCTATGCAATCATGTATTGCTTTCGTATATTCTATCTTTAAATTTTCATTTCTCTCAAATTTTCTTTCCAGTTGCTTCAGCCTTAGTATCGCTTGCTGTTTAGTATCTCCACATGCTTTCAGTGTCTTCAACGCTGTTCTTCAGCGGTAATTGTACAACATAACGCCTTTCGGCATCTCTTGTGGTCGTATTCTAGTAGATTTCTTCACACCTTTCTTCTTTGGTCCACATACTTTGTTTTGTGTACATTTCCGATTCTACTTCCCAAAACTTCTTTAATAAGTTGTTGTCTTCTTCAATCTGACGGGTTATATGTAAACTGTTATGTGCTGTGAAACATTAAATGATGCATTAATATCTCCCGACAAAACTCAACCCAGATGTGTGTACTGACCAACTACGTTGCCCGGGCCTCTCATGAAACCCGAGTCTGTAAGAAGAATGTAGATTCTTCCCGGTATGTTAAAAGTAGGATCGGCTAATTTTACATCGCTAAGTTGTGGCCAACTGTAACCTCGAATTTCTCTAGCTGGCAGCCTACGAGTCAACAACTTTAATACAAATGCATTTACATTGATAGAAAAATTGGTATCATATCTCGACCTTACTGGCAATCCTACCATATGTCTGATGTTCAACCGGTTACTCTCACCAACACCAGAAACCTCTCCGCTGATCTTGGTTTTCTTCAAACTCATCGTCTCGACCACTCCCGATGTTACGAAGGAAGCCTCCGATCCTGGGTCGATCAAAGCACGGAAGACGTGTGACTGCCCCGAGCTCGACGTGATGCTCGCGGTGTGCGCCGTAACTATAGGTTGTTTCTTATCTTCTTTGTTGTTATTTGTTTCCTCAGATGTTTGCGTTTCTTCACCTGCTTGTTGCTGATCTACATGTAATAAAGAGTGATGTTTTCTTCTACAGATTTGACACGTTCTTTGTTTGCACTCGAATATTGTGTGATTTGGCACTAAACAATTAAAACGTAAATTGTTATTCTGTACAAACTTGTACCTTTCTTCAATAGGTTTGTTCGCAAATTGCTTACAATTAAAAGTGTAATGATTTTCTTTGCAGAAGGCACATTTTAATTCACTGGTCGCTGTAACGTGAAAAGTTTGTGGTTTGACAGGTTTATACGGTTTATTTGCTGGTCCTATCATCTCCAATGCACGAAATCGGGTTTCTAAAAACTATTACGAAAGGGTTTCGACAGGGACAAAGGCCTACTTGCCATTGCACCTTCACTAAAATTTTCTATTGCATGAAGCCTGTCAATGAAACGTTAACAATTGTGCAGATCAGCCGCGTGACGGTGGGCGCACACCACGCGGCGCTGGTCGAGGTGCTGGCGGGCCGGTCCGAGACACCGCACGAGCCCTTCCAGGTATTACCCAGGTGCCACTGTCTGAAGTTTGCACTTACTATAGTAGGTTCAGCTTTTGGAACGAACGTTCGACGATAAGCCACGCCCCAGGTGCTGGTGCCGAGCAGCGTGTTCGTGTCGGCGCAAGAGTCGCGGCGAGCGGAGGGCGTGCAGCGCGTGCGCAGCTTCGACGGCGAGCAGCTGACTGCCGCCACGCGCGACTTGCGCTTCGACCGTGTGCGCGTTGTCGTCTCGCAACCCTACAACAAGCATTGCCAGGTGGCGTGTTCCCCTCCGCCGATGGTCATCGCCATGTGCGGCAGACATTTACGTTTGTATCGATCCGGTTGCAGTACGGGCTCTCGTTCATCCACCTGTTTGAGCCGGAGAAGGATGCAGAGGCGATCGTCGGCGAGCAGGCGGAGGAAGCGACAGAGGCGGGGGAGGCGTCTGACGATGACGAGTTTCGCCCCGGCGAGCTGTTCGCGTTGCACCGCACGCAGCACGTCGCACACACAGGTGCTAACAGGGAGCTCGTGGCCGCAGTAGCAATTTTTCATTTTGTCATAAGGTTTCGAGCAAGCGTTATTGTCGGTTTCAGATACTCAAATTCGGCGGGCATCGGCGCTGGCTTTGAAAAATGTTTCCGACTCGTCCACCAAATTGGTGAAGGCGTCGGTCGTCAGAGCGGGGGGCGCCGAAAAGCAATCCGCCGAGCGCGACGCGGATAAAGATAGGAGGCGAAGCGCGTCCGGCGACGAACGGGCCGCAACACCGCCCGCCTCGATCGGGGACACGAACTGCGGTTCGGCGGCGTGCACGTCGCGGCCCGATCGCACCAAACGGAAGCGTCCAGACGGCGGGACGTCGCACGGTGAGCGCGTCGGCCGAGCGAGGGCGGCGCGACCGTTCGCGAACGCGCCCGTCACGTACGTCGACCGCTAGGTGCGGCGGGGGAGAAGAAAGGGAGGACGGACGAGAGCGCCATACTGCGCGGCGTGGTGTTCGCGCTCAGCGGCTACGCCAACCCGCGGCGCGCGGCGGTGCGCGACCTGGGGCTGCGCCTGGGCGCGCGGTACCGCCCCGACTGGGGCCGCGACTGCACGCACCTCGTGTGAGTACGGCCGGGGAGGGGGCGGGCGCGGGGAGGGGGCCGGGGCGCGCGCTGACCGGGCGGCGCGGCGGCAGGTGCGCGTTCCCCGACACGCC